ACCACTCACAGTAGCATCAAGAAAGTCATGATTCCTCAAGTGGATATTACGGACCGCACGGAGTCGTGCAATACTCTCATCTGAGGGATAACCATCACGAAAGATTTGATATGCCGGAGAGGTTGGTGACGCCTCCAAATTAGCACAAAGCACCCAACGCATCGGTGATGGAGGCATCGCTGACGGCAGAAGAGGGTGACCATTGCCACTGTAACCATTCAGCATTTGTGTCGTTGCACCAGCCTGCCCAGATTCTTGAACCTCCTGCCAGATCTCGTGCAATGCCCATAAACACCCAGAGGCATTGATAGCTGCCAGATCAGGCCGAGAATCGAAGGAAGGGGGACACCACTCAGAGGAGAGAGGCCCACCAAGGGAGGAGTGGCAACCGGCGACAGAAACTGTGATGGTGGAGCCGCAACAGCCACCGCCCCCAATCCCACCTCCTCCGCCACCAGCGCACTCAACGTATGGAACAATGATGGGGGCAGTAGCAGGTTCTACGGGTGTGGCAAGGGATGAAAGTGATGGAGAGGGAAACTCCACGGGATGAAGACGCTCCGTAAGACAGCCCACGAGAAGGAGAGAATCAGTAGCCAAGTGACGAAGAACAGACACAAGTAATAGTGGATCGTTCGATGCATTGCAGCCATTAAGGTCGCCGGTGCAGCACGATTTGAGCGACTCACTCAACGTGTCGCGCCATAACTGAGCATAAGCACTGTGTTCAACCAACTGAAATAGAAGCCAGAAACCAACTTGAGACTCAAAAGTTGTTGCATTCGGAGAGAATGGAGGACCCTTAGACACCGCAACTTTCATATCAAAGTGGTCTGCACAGTCAGTTGCGCGTGCATTCAGGTGACGCCAAAACTAGTGGATTTATAGGCTGCAAAATCCTAAAAAGGTGTTACAAGGAGAGCTCAACAGTTGATTTGCACAAAAAGAATTCGATTCCCACAAAGAGTAGCAAAACAAATGTTAAAAAGCAGAATCCTTCTGGTTCAATTTTACTTATCCCCTAGACATTACCGAAAAAAAAAATGAGTGTGATTCACTTTTAATTTCAGATTTATTCACTCTGTCACTACCCA